CGACGTGTTAAAGTAGAACCCTAGCTACTAGATGGTTCCTTAGCCACATCTTCATTTCCTTTTTCACAATAATATCCTCTTAAATTTATGACTGATTTTGTTGGGCATGAATTGGGGTTGGGAGATGGACATGAGGTGGGGGAAGGGCAAGACGTACAGGCTCTGTTTCTCCACTCTGAGCGGTAAGTATTCCCTGAGCAACACCCATCCGGTGCTTCGTCTCTGAGTCGCCCTATAATGCGCCTTTTCTTGACTTGGGGAAGGAAACGAAGCTTGACTTTTCCAATGATTAGAAGATTCGTGGCAGGATTTGGCGCGTTCCATGTCAAGATTTGTTCCCCCGAATTTTTGGTGAAGTTGAGTTTCCATGTTGATAGAACGGTGGGCATAAGTGTTGCGGGATCGGGCGTCACCCGGGTACTGGTATCACAGACGGCGGGAAGATTGTTGCAGAGGCTGTATGGATTGGATATTTCTTTCCCATTTGGGCATCGATCAAATCCTTCATTGTAGGTTGTAACGTAGATGCTGTCGGCGAAAGGTACGTTGTATACGACTTCACCTGTTTCAGAGAATGAGCTGCCTGCGACAGACCTCAGTTCAATACGGGTTACTGAATGTTCTTTGTCACTTCCCGTTTTGTATTCTTTAAGGGGAAGGTACACCTTGAAACTCTGCACAAATGGTGCCAAATTCTCTCCACTCGCTAGCCAGTTATATCTAAGTAACCATGATCGCCGCGCTGGTATACGGAAGGTAACAGAATTCCCTTTTGCCAGAGAAGGCAGATTTATGAAGCCCGTATCAAAATCGTTTTCAGGACGAGTTGGTATGTATACAAATCTTTCAACCTCGTGAAATGTTGAGATTGGTTCGTAGGCAATTAGAGTGTCTAAGGTATGTTTTGTAAAGAATCCAGTCGAGGTGCACTCGCCGATTTTCTTTCCTTGGTTGAGGTACTCCAACTTATCGCAGTACAAGGCAGCATGTGATTGAAGACGGTATTGTGCCATAAAAAAGCCCAGCATAAGCTGACTTGCGCTCAGAAGATCGTTTGAAACTGTAATAGATTCTGAAAGCTTCTTCGCAACTTCACCCCGAACAACGCGAGCTAGGGCATCAACGAGGTCAAATTGAAAATCGAAAATATTTTCTCTCAGGGCAGCAAATTCAGCCAAAGTTCCTTCCAGTTTTTCACACAACAGCATTCCTCCTACCACACCCTGAGTTGCAGCGGCACCAATACCTTGAGCACTGAACAACAGATCGCAAGTCGAGTCCTTAAACGCTGCCCACAGAGCATCATTTTGAGCAAGCCGAGCCTTCGAAACTTTTGGCGTGTAATCCCCGTAACCCTTGATAAACCTATCTGCATCAAAACCAATGTCCTCGATCTTGTTCTTCTTAATTGCTTCCACCATGTCGTAAAGGTTTGCAATCTGATCTGCGTTATCTATGAAGTCTTTATCCAGTGCTGACAAGTCGTCGTACACGCTTGCAAGATTAACCATCAAAGCAATTCCTCTTGCTGCTTCCGCAATAGCCCTTGCTACCTCTGTTGTCTGCTCATAGATATCGCCTGCTTCTAATCCGCCAAAGATTACCTTCAATAAATTGGCATGCTCAGCGATCTTAAGTCCCAAAATTGTACTTTCTTCTATTACTTGGAGGGCCTGAGCAGTTACCAAAGCTATCATGGCACCTTTTACATCTCCGTCCAGCTTCTCAGACAGAGTGCCAGCCCTAGTGTCAAACTCCTTCAATTTATCCTTGAGGAACGTAACATCCGCTTGGGCAATACCTTGGTCGTACTCTGCAAGGCCTTTGAAATACCCGGAAATGCCTTCCACAGCAGTTTGCAAATTTTCGTCTAAGTTTCGGATGTTTCCTAAAAGTTCAATGTGCTGCAAAGTTTGAGTCTGTAGTTTTATCATTTCTTGGTTGTCTATCCTGGAATACAAACGCAAGTTACGGGTGGCAGGAGGATTGTCTCGGTCCAGTTTGAGTTTCTTTAATGATTGGAACAGTTTTGAAATACTTCCGACGGTACACATGTCTTCTGCTTGTAAATCAATACAGGTCAGAGAAACATAAGACATGGCATTTTTTCTCTCCTCCACGAGTGCCATGGCATCTGGCAAACTTGAAAAAGCCCGTACTTCAACTGCTTTTCGAAAGAAATCATCCCAGTAAAGGGTGCTGCTATATGCCAAAATTAATTGTCCCATTCTGTCAATCTCTTTGAGATCTGCTTCCAAAGATGACTTGTCGGGTCTACTCAGAGAATTGCTACAAAAGCTACGTGCTATGAAAGTGCTAACTTTGTACCACAGCAAGGCACCCATCATAGGGATGGCGGTTGCAACATCACATTTATTGTCATCAACACATGCATCTTGCACGTTAGTACCATCGGAGTCACCATAAGGATGAGGAGTTTCGGATCCAGAGCATAATTTAACGTTCTTACAGATTTTGTCTGTTGAAAAGGTGTAAGCGTCTTGCTTATCGAGGTCTTCTTTTACTCGAGAACACATGGTTTCTATTGGTATGGCCACACTTTCTGGTGGCCCTTGGGACGGACTGAGAAGAGTGGCGATGCAGCGATAGTCGTAATGAGCACGAAGCGTTCTTAGGATGAAACCTAATCCACGTTCTCGATAATTTGTCTGAAGGCTCTTGCTCTTAAAAAACTTTGATACAACGGGAATTTCTGGTTCATCTAGAAGTTTCTTCAGATCTCCAAGCAGACTTCTGTCCTCTTCTATGGCAGATACATTGAGTTTGTCAATCCCTTCAAGATGAGACGGCAATTGCTCCAGGATACTGATAAGTTTTTCAGCCTGTGCGGCATTTCCTTCTCTTTTTAACTTTTCAAAAACTGGAACACTTTCATCCCGAGCTTGAAGAACCTCTTGCAGTTTTTTTGCCCACTGAGGATCTTTTTCTGTTCCTTTCACACCGAAAAGGATTGCAAGAAAAACGATGCCGCATCTTACAGCAATCATCGCTTACCCTGGAACGATAGTCTCACTGCAAAATAAAGTAAAATAAACTAAACATCATGAAACAAAACAATAAGAAAAAGACTTCAAAAACCATACATTTAGGTCACGTGTAGGTGGTTAAACTGATGAACGACTAAATTATTTATACTTTCTTTTGATTTTTACTTAAAACTGATATTTAAATTTTCCATTACACTAAGAAAATAGAACAAAACATTTCCTGATAATAATATTATCCAACTTTGTCTTAAAAGAAGAGTTATCTTAAATTTACGGTACTCTATCTTGAAAGAGTGCCCTAAATGAATTCAATGAGCCACAAAGTTATCCTTTGGAATTACATTCAGTGAACCTCAACAATTCGTCGTTAAAAATTTATGTTGACTTTTGCTCTCGTTATCTTACTTTAATTTTATTTTATTTTTTCATCTTTATTTAAACTGTCTTTTGTTTTTGATTTTATTGTAATTGTATTATGTTTTGTTTCAATTAAACCAGTGGTCCATTTTGGTCGTAGGTTAGTTTTTACCGACATTTTCGTGATGCAGGTACCCTTAATTTCCGGCAAGTAATCGATTAGACTGTAATTTTACAATCCGATAAAGCAGCAAAATGAAACCGAAACATGTGAGGAAAAAATGTTTTATATTTCGGCTTTTCAAACAGGAAAGAAAAGGAATTTAAACAAAGCTTAAAAAATAAGGGAGCCCGTGTATTTCTGGACCCTACAAAATCAGCACTATCTTGCATCAAAGCGAGAAATAACATTTTGTCCACAGAATTCCTAAACATTGTAATAAAATTCCATATCATATGATATTAGCGTTTTAAAAAGGGATTTCCACAAGTTTCGAATCTTGTAAAGCGATGATACCATACAGTACCAACTTACAGACCTATTCAATTTTATCTAAAGATAACTGATGCATGAAAAGCACTCCAACTAGTAACAATGTTTTAGAAACCCAAGTGGGAAAACCAGGTTCACTCTGTAACCCCTGATAAGAATAAGGAAAATGATCACGAACTCAAGAAGCTGTTGATTGTTGGGCAAACTTTCCTTGCAAGATAACGAATAGAGATTAGTATGAACAACTTGTAATCTGACATTAGAGTGTAGAGGGTTGGTAGAAAAGTAGGATGGGGAAAAAAAGGAACTTCAGTAGGACTACGAGTCCATTCTTTCGTTTAAAGCTATAGGACATATAGTTCAGTAAATTTGCTGAAGCTCTATCCACGGTACTACACTGTCGTTCAAGATTTGCTCTTTTAAAAGATTTATATTAATCTCGATTTTAGAAGAGGAAAAAACGGAAAAAATGGGACATCGATTAGGTATCAACTGTAGCTTTCCATCAAATACTTCGTCAAATTTCTGTACCATCAACAAGGAGGTAAACGAACGTTTTTCCTAATAACGTTGCATGTTACCAAAATTTCATCTTATTTCTCCGATTCGCGGCAGTTCGTGCAATAAGTATACCAAAACTTATCGGCCGAGAGAATAATAGAGGTTGGTGCAAACTATTCAAGTAAAACATTTACACATTATCTTTCAAGGACAATCTTCACCAGGTGCGCTTCAAAATGTTTCAATTAGTTACAATACGAAATGTATGCTGCTAGTCACTGATGATGAATGGATGTCCTATCCAAACTCACGTTTTCATGTATTCGCCTACTCCTACAGCATTTTTTCCGCCATGTCAAAAAAAAAAAAAAAAAAAAAAGGAAACCCATTCGACATACCTTGGCTAGTCGTGTCCTGATACACAATAACACGGTTTCTAATTTACGAGAAAAATCAGGTTAATTTCTGGTACCAGTGAACTTTGCTTTACCCTCTTTCATGGTTCTGCTTGTGAGATTGAGTAATTACGACACAATATTCTGTCAGCAAATTTAATGAGATATCTGAGGTAACAACTGCGTTCAGTTGAATCACTACACAATACATTACATGTGGTTGTTTGGTACACTGCTAAACGAAAAGTTATTTTCAATATCGTCGTAAAGAACTCAAAAGGTGAGTCTATCATTTTCCTGAGTGTATCTCAACCCTTTTGTTCGGTAAGTTTTGTTGCAGTCAAACGCATCATGGGCAAAAATTTGGCCAATACCCCTTACTTTATCGTTTCATCCTCAATTAATCCATTCAGTTGCTGAAATTTAAAAAGTTTGATAAAGAAAATTTTACCTTCTTTTTGAAAAATTAAATTGGGTTAGCATTTATGCCTTTAAACAGGATCATGTTGACAGGAGCGTGTCCAAAAAGCTTATTAATTCGCGTTTTGAAAGTGTTTGTCACGAGGGAAAAGTTTGGTGCATATTTCCATTTATTTTCCTCTTTCACAGTCATAGAAAGTGCTTAATATTTTCCTTTGTTCGCTTTTTCAACTTTAGTCTTCAGCGGACAGAAAGAAAAGATGAATACTTGCTTCCACTTAACTTCTCTTTTGCTTTTTGTCGCCGCATTTCTCTCTGGTAAGAATACTCCTGAGTTTAACACTATTTGATGATCCTTCCTGGCGAACAGCACGAAGGAAATAGACTGCATTTTTTCATTAAAAATGTTCTGACTGGGGTTCTGAATAAATTCGACAAAACATCGAGCTGGTGAATCACGCTGATGGAAACTAATAAGATGTCTTCAATTAAAAAAAAAAAACGAAAAAAAAAAAACGAGAGGATCGATCTAATTAAATGAATGTCCTTCCACTGTAAGCTTTCGGTCCTCATTACACTGTTCGCAAAAGCAGATGTTCAGATAAAAAAATTCAGCTACACTGAGGATTGTTAAGGACGCGCTTTTGTTAAACAATGGCTAAACTTTGTTTAAATAATTAAACCTAAGAATTAAGCGGCCCAGCAGACAACCTGGGTTCACTATCACATAATTTCTATCTATCATTCTATCTTGATTGTTATAACATTTCCACTTTTGATTGATTCAGATCACCAGGTGAATTGTAAGTGTGGCTCTCTTGGCATCGCCGACACACCTTGGGCAGCTTGTCTTGTTGCAGAAAATGAAGAGTGCCCCAACAATTTTATCAAACTTGAAGATGACACTACTTGCAGCCCAAGTAGCCGGAGGACCCCCGCATGGAAGCCACGGGTGTGTTGCCTCCTGACACCAAATATGGAATTTAAGGTAAATTTGATCAAAAGCAGGTGTCTCGTAACACAGGTTGGGTGGCCTACAGGATGAACTCCTGAAACTCGAGACACTTTACCTTTTAAGCACCTCTCCCCGCCCAGCACATGGAGTTCAGGAACCATACTTGAATACTACGACTTCATGTAATCTGACTAGGAAAAAGTTAATAAAAAGAAAACACACAAAGACATAAGGCGCAACTAAGACGAAATAAGAAGACTTACATCGCATTAAAAAGAATATAGGTGGCCCTTTCCTCTTCTCTCTTAAACTTAAAGGATTTATTGGCTAGGAATAATAGTATCAGCGTACAGATTGATGCATGAACATTAAGCTTTTAAGTCGCTTTATCTCAACCCGTAAAGCAGGGTAGATAAGAAGCGACATTTGTTATTGCGAATTCTTAGTTTCCGCTAATGATTTATGCATCAACATTTGTGACCAGTGATCTAAAACTTAAAGATCAAAATAGTCTTCACTTGGCTCACGTTTTCAGCGCTGTTATTTTCCCTCTTCCTTATTTACTTATCTGCTTGATGGTCAGCGTTTAAATAATTGTCCATTTTTGTCATTTATTATCTAATAACTGCTTAATTTTTGTTTTGTTTAAAAACACTGGACTTACTTAATTTTTACCTCAAAACATTTATAATTTTACGTGGAGGACGATTTTATTTATTTTTTATATTCCTAACACATGTAACCTCCCCACAGATTAAGGATTCACCATGTCTAGCGGGAAGTCCAGCAAGCAATGACGAGGCAAAGAAGACTCGTAAACACCACTGATTTCGTCAAAAAAGTACCCTTACTTCAATTTGTTTCATTGCCAATAAAAACAGTTTTTTTGGAAATTGTCGAACTACTTCCTTAATAACAAAAAAGTGATGACTGCAGTATGCAAAAGTAACGGTGACGATTATTTCTGAATATCGTTCTTTATTTCCCCGAGATATCGCCAATCTCCTAGTTCAGTTTGTCTTGAATGGACTTGTATCGAATTAATTTTCACTTTGTATTGAAACGAACTAACTCCCCTACGGCTTTTCGGTCGATTAGAAGTCGATCAAGTTCTGCTGATAAAAATTATTAAACATTTTGTAAAATGCTAGCGAAGCGACCCATGAGACGTAGGGGAAACGACCTGTGACGTTGGCGGAAACGACCTACGATGTTGGCCAACTGGTCGTTAGCAAAACTCCTAGTAGGCGAAACGACTGTTTACCGTTCTAGCGAAATATCGCAACAACGGTGTAACGGATAGCACCCGACACACAATCAAAATGCATTAAATTAACATCACTCCTACGGAATATCGCCTCAGCAATTTATCTTACAGCAAGGATGAGTCATCGAGCGATTTCCCAGCAAAATGATTTTCTTTAGGCAAGAAATGCATGTTTTATGTACTTAAAGAGAAATAACAATCTGATACTTTAAGTTCCTTCCCCCTTTCAGGATCATATCTCACCAGCCAAGCCTAACTAGAGGAAATTCAATTGTTCAATGTCTTCAGGTATCCAACCTAGAAAAAAGCAATGCACAACAACTCAAAACAATCCTTAGCTTTATCATTTTATGATATAAGGAATAATAACCACTCTTGATAGAATAAATTGCTTAAGTTCTGATTTTAAACAAACAAAACAAAACAAAAAAATAAACAAAAAGGAATCAAGAGAACAAAAACAAAAATGATCTCGGTTCGGGCGGCTCTGAAATTTCCTTTGAATCAAGTAATTGAAAGGAAATTTTCAATTTTTCTAGCCCGACCGTTTACAATCAGAGGCTTTTGGATCACCTCAGTTAACGTCGTGAGCTTAGAAAAAGGATTCACTTGCATTCCGAGTGTCTTGAGTGAATTTTTGCGCTAAGACGAGCTGAAGAAAGGTAATGCTCATCGCTTCTAGCGTTGAAGATTAAAGGAGAAGTATGCTGAAGAAACGACAAAATTTAGCCATTAAGTGGTTTGAATGAGATATGAGGTTGACCGTATTTTGAGATTCCAAAAGGTAATTCAATAATTCGAAAATTGCCAAAGGGCAAAGCATTTGAGTTGTATCTTAAGCAACTGAGCAAATTTAAACTAAATACCCGCCCCCTTCTTTATAAAAAGCTTATCAATCATACTTTCTTCACGACGACTCTCTGTGATGCTTAACAAAACTGTCTGCGTTCTTTAGTAAAAGTTCCATAGTGTACCTTAAATCCATTTATTTCTCGCATGGTAGGTGCTACTGCCGTTGTACTCTTCATAAGCAAAAGAATAAGATGCAGACAAGTTTCCTTTGGAAACGTTAACAGTTGAACCGTGGGGTTGTTCCGCCAAGAATCTACCTCGTGTTCCCTGTTCATTATTAATTTTGCAGAGAAAGTAACATAGCAATAAGAGACTAGATTTCTTAGCGCAACACAAAGTTAGGTGTACATTTATAGCCAACAACTAACTTGGTACGGACAAAAATCTTAAAAAAGACAATTCTCGGTGAGATGTTCTTTCCAGCTTCCTTAGAAATAGTGCCCTTACTTTTAATTAGCACAGAGAAAATATCAACTTACCAATCAGTGCCTAGGGGTGGCTTAAGTTTGTAAAGAATTTTCACCACCTGCAGGTATCTGGCTGTAAACAGAGAGTAACAAAAACTTAGAGACTGGATTTATTAGCACAACACAAATTTAGTTGTACATGTAAAGCCAACAGCTAACTTGGTACGGACACAAATCTTAAAAAGAGACTAAAAAAGTTAAAAAGAAAGTCAATACCTGTATTGCGAACAGAAAAAAGGCCAGTTTTACTGTAACAACCATATAAAGTTCCAGGTTCGATATTCGTTATCATCGCAGCATCAGCATTAAAAAGCCAAAGCTGAGAAAAAAAATAATAAAATGAGAATGGGGTATCAATTAAACAAGCGAAAGTGTAATTTTTCCAATATCTGACCATTGTTCTAGCGTAGAACCAGTTAATATTTTCAGCATTACATAATTCTGATGCCCCATTTCTTTAGATGTGTCAATGGAATCTGCTGGTTTGCTTTAAAAAACAGTGGCTGCATGGCAGAGGCAAGTCCTCTCAAGATGGGGAGCGATCCATCACTGTGCTGGAGAAGATGATTATCGACTGACTGATGTATGACATCTTAAGATATTGAGCAGAAATATGAACACCTTGGGAATCAGGCATACCTGAGTTTTAAATTATCAGTGAAAGCCTCAGCTAATAAGGCTTTTTAAGGTATAAATGCCGTCTAACTTCTTTGATATATCAAACTGTAGGCACACATAGCATAGAGAGAATACTTACATGTAGGTTTATATTGCCATTGACAAGACAAGACATTGTGAGTATGTGGTAGAATAAAATGTTAGTACTAAGCACCTTAGTCAATTTTCCACCTTAACCCTCTACACCCTAACATCAGTGTGCATATTCCCCATACTGTTCTCTGTACATTTCTCATGGTACCAACATGGTGAATTTGTTTAACAGTCAAGAGCTCCTTTAGTTGGCAAATCATTCCTTTAATTCTCATGGATGAACTTAATGTTTGAATCAGCAATGAAACTGCAAGGAGAAAAGCTGCTTGTCACTCTTAATGTACAATGCAGCCAGCAGACTACAGATTGGGTATGAAGTGCAGACTGAGAACAAAATATTATCCATGTCAGTCAAACTTGCAGTAGAAATGTGATAGTATTTTATAACCAGCCCAATTTACTGCCTATTGTTGAACAATCACTTTACAACCACTCATATTGTTTGCTGACTTGGTGGAAAACTACCTAGGGCTGTCTGAAAGAAATGAGCTGAAATACTGTACTCTAAATATCTGCCCCCTCTAAACAAAACAGTCTCTTTGAAGACTACTAAATGACAACCCTCTGGTAATAGAAAACAATACAGTCAAGACTTACACAGGCATGTGTTTGTATCCCACCATTCTGCTTGGATTCTTGAATTAAAAATCGAAAGTTTGCAGTGCCTTGTGATTTGGAAGTCAAGCAACTTGAAAGAAATGTTTCCATGCAATATGTCCTGGAAAAGAAAAAAAACTTCTGTAATGTTTCATCTGTGTTCATTTAATTTATTGCAAAAATTGTAAGGTTGTTGAATTTTTTCATAGGTAGATGTAAATTTATGTGGTCTTTCAGTGCTAACACAGCCCCCAATTTATTAACCACACGGTTACCCACCAATACAAGTTCTGGCTAGAATTACATTATCTGTCTGCTGAGTCAGTCATGGTCTTAACTGTTGAATCTTCAGATTTCCAGGATTGATCAGGTGAAAGAATACATAAATTATGACTTAAAACAAGCCCAATAAAAAGTTTGGAAAATGCTGTACCTGAACAAGTTACTGAATCGTAGGCTAACAGTGTGCTTGTAAAGATAAATGCTGGATTCTACATCACTAAGATCCATCACCACAGAATCTGCACGAATACATCCCAGAGTGGTTTTGCATCTGCGACACTCTATAACTTGATCTTCATTGCCCTTTGAAAAAGCAAACAATTTCACATTTCTACACTACTTAAGAACAATCAAAACCTTCCCCCAGCCACTGACCATGCTGCAACATTTGCAGAAAAAGTATCAAACACCTTAAAAATAATTATGATCTTCATCAATCCTTACTGGTGCAAACTGCAGTCTTCCAGGTTCCATAGTTGAAGGGTGCACTTTGATGTAGTATTCTCCGACAAAGCAGTCCTTTTCACCTGGTTCAAGAACCCCTGCAGCAGATGTTAGATGACTTGTTCCATGACAACACCAGTCCTGAGCAAGTTTGAGCCAGTTTTCAGAAGGCAACTCAAGAACTCTGTCAAACTGTCTTAAAAAAACAAAGATGAAAATCAATGATATTTAAAAGTTGGGAGATGCAGAGGCATATTTATTAACAGAATGTGTTCCATACAGAAAGCAGGGGTTAGAGCCTTGGCTGAGTCACTTCAGTGTTTTGTTCTTGGGCAAGACTTTTAATTCTCTTATTGTGCCTCCCATCACACAGAAGTATAAATGGGGGCAGGAAAATGTTAAAGGAAACCTGATAAATTGCTGAGGAATAACTTTGTAATGGACTTGCATTCCATTCAGGTTAGAATAGAATTTTTTTATTTTATAATTTCAGTAACTTTCTGCAGCTGAAACTAGGATAAACCCTTTGTACTAAACCTATAAAATGATTAACCCTTTGTTTCAAACTTACCAATTGATACACCCTTTATTACTAACAGAGATCCCTCAATTCTGTATCTTACAGTATGAACCAAGAAAATGAGGATGGTAAGAAATCCATTACATATCTGGAGTTCAAATTGGAAAGATTTTGATTTAAAGAAACTTTTGAATTTAGCTGGCAGTACTGTGAAATATGGCCTGCCACAAAGATCTTTGAATCATAGCATGCTACACTTGTTATCTGAGACATATAGTTTAATGACTTTACAGAACCTGTCAAATGAAATTAATTGCACTTATTTGTACGTTATCATAGTTGGCAGTACTGGTTCCAATTTCAGCATGGGTAGTCCAATGTTTCCACCATAAGGTCACATGCTAGACATTCCCAAAGATAGAGGTTATCTTTGGTGGGGGGATGGTGTTGTAATAAGACAGCTGAACATGAGGAATACATTTTAAGGAGGAATTAAAGTTACAATTTGACTTTTGAGCAAGTTACATGTACAAATACAGTACAATCTATGTTTCACATATTTCTCTATGGTGGCTCTTCTACAGTGTACATGTATGTCTAGCCTGTATAAGCTTCAATATCTAATCATGGTCTGAAAGTCTGCAATCTGCTGTCTGTTGAT